AGAAAGAAATGTAAGAGAAAAGTAAAACCAAAACAGAAAAAGAAAAATGCCAAATTGGATGCAGTATGAAGGAGAATAGATATTGTTGAAAATACACTAAGTGACATGGTAATATATTAAGAACAAAGCAAGCAATAAAATAAAAATTAGCAAAAAACTTAAAAGGACTTCCAATATAAGCATAACCAATGTTCTCAAAGAAAAAGAATGTGACTCAAAAATGTTAGCATTCAATCCATTACATATTTTTATTCAAATACAGTGACCCAGATAAGCATTTCTGAACATGAAAGACAGTGGGGAATATAATTCCTATGACCCCTACTTGAGGATAAACTTCAGTTAAGCAGAAACCATAGCAAAAGGCCTGGAGGTGAGCTTTGAATTCATTCAACTGTAGAGCTACGACTAAATCAAAACAGGAGATTATGATTGCACAACAAAATGTGAATGTTATGAACCCTAATAATATGTTTTCTAAAAAACCACATTGCTTTCATTAATGATTAAATCACTAAAGTAAACATCACCAGAATACCTAGGCAACAATTCACAAACCTTACAAAATTATGTTACATTTAGTTCTCACTTTCCAAATTAATGAATGATGCACCAGTGTTTCTATTAAATTATAAAGTGAAATGATTCCTTGATGCCTATGTCCAAATCTCTTTCTTTGGATTGTTTTTGTTGTTTGGTGGGTTGAACTGCTGTTCTTTGGTTTGTAAAATTAAAGTGTAATGCAGGCAAGTACTTTCGAAAGAGCCTACTCTTGATCTCTAGAAATTTCTTTGGGAAGAATCTGGCAGTCACTGAATTGAAGACTATAAAAACTTCTTCAGTCATTCAAGCCACAGAGGACCCCGGCCTAATTAGAATTCTCCCTCTCTAGCTGCCTTCTTCTAGTGCTTTTCAGAGATCAGCTTTTTTTCTGGACCTGTGTAGTGAACTGTGGACCTGGGTAACGAAACCCATACATGCTGGTTAATTAAGTGAAAAGCTACTCAAGCATCTCAAAAAGTGAACGTCTAACCTTGGAAACATTAAATAATTTTGCATCGCTAACAGCCTCAGCAGTTGCTTTTTTTTATTATTGAAAATTGTTTGCATGACTGAAATAAGGATATGTGTGATATGTTAGACATCTCTGTTTCTTTGGCCTACTTCAATTTACACAAACAGGAAATATTTTTCGAGTTCACAACTTCCTTTAATATGTGTTATTCTTTTTTTTTTTTTTGAGACGGAGTCTCGCTCTTGTTGCCCAGGCTGAAGTGCAGTGACGTGATCTCGGCTCACTGCAACCTCCACCTCCTGGGTTCAACCAATTCTACTGCCTCAGCCTCCTGAGTAGCTGGAATTACAGATGCCCACCACCACACCCGGCTAATTCTTGTACTTTTTAGTACAGACGGAGTTTCGCCATGTTGGCCAGGCTGGTCTCGAACTCCTGACCTCAGGTGATCTGCCCGCCTCGAGCCAGTCCCAAAGTGCTGGTATTACAGGCACGAGCGCACCGTGCTGATCGTGTATTCATTTTTAGTCTAATCATTTTGGGATTGTGATATATACAAAATACAATCTGAGGTTTAAAAGCCCCATATTCGAACTCAACAAAGATCTTCTTTGGCCTGAGTGCAGTCTTCCAAACTGTTCTGTCTCACAACCCTAGAGCCAAGATTTGTGGGCATAATATCCACAAACAGAATAACTTATTTATAAAGATCACATGTGTTATTTATATTAATATATATGTACATGGTTAAAGTATAGAAATTTTCTAAAGAATTACAAGATAAAAATATTTATTCCATTAATCCAAATAACTTTCTGATGCACTAAAATTTATTAATAATACTTAACAGAACAAGTACATTAATATAACTTTTATTATTTCTGAATCTTGGCTTAATATTTTGTAAGTGACAATTAAAATCAATTTGTTTTATACTTTTAATGAATAACAGGAACTCATGAAAATACATAATCTAAATGGAAAGGTCATCATGCACTGACCCATCCTCTGATAACGTAAAGGTTTAGGAATTTGAAATTTTGTTGTTCAAAAATATTAAGTTTGTGTAACGCCAACTAAAATTCAGCTTAATAGCCACTTTACTGGGATAATGCTTGCATAAATATATTATATATATATATGGTTTATAATGTAATCATATAGACAATATAATATAGTACATATTAATATAGGATATAATTATATATAACAAATTAATACAGAAACAAATATAGATTATATATTGATAATTATTAATGTAAATAAAAGTTATAGATTATATATAATTAAATAATTACATATTACATAATATATATACTAAATATCTATAATCAATTAAGAACATATATACAATTATATACATTAATATATCATCCACCAATCTATGATATATTACAATATAATCAAGTATAATAGTAATATATAATTCAATAGCTTTAATACATTTTCAAGATATACTCTAACCCATGGAAAGATGGACAAATACATATATATATATGTATATACACATTTTTTAAGAGATAGGGTCTTGCTCTGTTGCCCAGGCTGGGGTGTAGTGGTGCAACCATGGCTCACTGCAGCCTCAAACTTCTGGGCTCAAGAGATCTTCCCATCTCAGCCTCCCAAGTAGCTAGTAGCTAGGACTACAGGTATATGCCAACACACCTGGCTAATTTTTGTATTTTGTGTAGAGATTGGGTCTATGTTGCCCAGGCTGGTCTTGAACTCTTGGCCTCAAGCAATCCTCCTGCTTTGGCCTCCTAAAGTGCTAGGATTGAACCACCACACCAGGCCAAATTTCTGTTTTTAATAATTGTGTGCTAAAATCACCAACTTTGTAGATTTTTTTTTTTTTTTTTTGGAGCACGGAAGTCATCACTCTGTCACACCAGGCTGGAGTGCAGTAGTGGTGTGATCTCAGCTCACTGCAACTCCCACATCCCAGGTTCAAGTGATTCTCCTGCCTCAGCTTCCCGAGTAGCTGGGACTACAGCACATGCTACCAACCCAGTAATTTTTGTTCTTTTTAGTACAGATGGGTTTCGCCATGTTGGCCAGGCTGGTCTCGAATTCCTGACCTCAAGTGATCCACCCACCTTGGCCTCCCAAAAGTCGGGGATTACAGGTATGAGCCACCATGCCTGGCCAGGGACATTCCGATTTTAAACATTACCAAACGTGCAGAGTATGAATTTTAATAGGTGACATACATTATGTTGTTAAAATAAAGTAACATTTCAAACAATCTATTTCAAAAATGTTTCTCCCTATAGCACAGCTTTTTCTCTAAGAAGGTGTGTATTTTCTCATTCATTCATTGAAAACATTGCTGAAATGGTTACATTTAAATATATTTTTCAAAAATTATATAGGAGTAGCTACTAAACCATTTAACACATAAAGTTCATCAAATTTGGACTTGTCTTTTTGTAAAAAGAAAATGAGTATCAATTTTTAGTTCTTTGTTAAAAACAACTTTTGTATGGTAGAAGTATACTGAGTATTCATTACCTATCTCATCACAAAATACAAAGATGTTACATTTTAAAGGATTTGCCTTTACAAAATCAACTAAGTAATATTTTCCTACAAGCAATTTGTATGCATCTGGCTTTAACTTCTTTGCTGTTCTTCAATAGCTTGCTTAGTAGCTTGCTTGTCAACGATACAGCAAATGAATTCATATATGTCACTGTTAATGATAATGACTGCAAATCTTCATTCAAATAACTTATTTAATAATTTCTATTGAGAAGGGCTGGCTCTGGTCGTATTTTCATTAAGTTACTTTTATCCCAAATGGAACATCTGCGAGATGTCCCCAATATCCATTCTCTCTCCCTCTTCCTTGGTATCAAAAACCTCTATTCGTGGGCACATCATTGCGCCAGAGCAAGACTACATTTTCCAAAAAACCCTTCCCCCTTGCAGCTGTGCATGACCTTGGAACTAAGTTTTGGTCACTGGGTTGTAAGTGGAAAAATATACGTCCTGAAAAGGGAATGGCAACTTCTGCTTTCTTTTTCTCCTAACCAGCTGGAATTCAGATTGACTGCTGAAACTTAAGCAACCATCTTGGAGCAAGAGGGAGAAGCCAGGTGTTGATACAGCCAGAGCAACAAGAAAACAGGCAATCTGGATCCTTCCCGACTGTATGGTCAACATTCATCCCCGGTTTGCCGATATTTATATGACAGAGAAATGAATTTCTGTATTTTCTGAGTTTCTGTTCTTTTGGGTTTTCTGGCTCTCACTAGTGTGCTGAACGCTAATGAATACACCTGTTAACAGGGTTGATGAAGAGCTCATGCTGGGAGTCACAGAAGAGACAGCTCTGCTGTGTTCTCACATCAGCATGTGTTTGCACTATTAATATTACCTTCAATCTGCAGTTTCCTAACAGAAACTGCTTTTAAGCCACTTGTCCATTTTGTCAGGATTCGTTCATAAGCACCACATAATATAATCTTTAAATCCACTTTATCAGGTATGTGTGAACAGCAACATGTGTCAGTGGCTTTGAAAGCAAGGGAATGAGGGGGCTACCATCAGGCAACTCCAACTATTCTCTCCAGACAACTCAAGAACCACATGTAACCTGTGTTTGTCTGAAATACAGACCATGTGAGGACACCAGCGTCCATGCTAAATATTACTAAAGCTTCATTTTCCTTTGGGTCACACGTAAGTATCTGAAGAAGTCATTCTTTCTTCCTATTCCTCTCCTGCCCCTACTCATAAATGCTTGTATGCACCTGCCTGGTGTGCAAGCGCTCCCCCGACTTTACAGTCCACTGTCAGGGGTGTGGAAGGACCCATAGTTAACTATAGATTTCCCTCCTGGATCATGACACCATGCTGCAAGAGAAAAATGTTCCTGACTGAAAAATCAGAATAAATAAGTGCTTTCCATAAAATCAAAAACACGTAAAAGCAAATGGTAAATCAAAAGAGGATGGTGTACAGAAGGATTTTGATGCCTCACCTGAATACTTCAAGAACAGTCCTTTCCGGTAACTTGGGAGCCACCTGCCTAAATGCTTTTTTGAAATCTTCCAAAGTTAAAAATCCACGATCTATTTGAAAACAATAAAAAATATTCACTTACTTTGATAAGACCTATCAACTGTTACTTCAGCCATAACATTTGTGAAAAACTTACTTTAACATATTACTAGGAGAAAAGCAGTAGTTTATGGTTGGTTTCACATATAAGGTAATCTGAGATTGTCTCATCAGAATAATTTGAGATTCTAATAATACTTTCCTTCAGTGCAGTCCCAGCTGATCTTGAAGGTCACTTCTGGCCCTATCATTTTGCCGATTCTCTCAGTCCCCGGGATAGCACTATATGGAGACATGCACTGTAACAGTGGTGTTAGACTTTGAGTCTTTGTGAGTTACCAAAACAATGCAGTCTTCAAAATTCATGTCTTTTCCTTTGCTTGGTATTAGAATCATGAAATATTAATATTTAGAAGGAAACCATAACAGCAGTCAAGACATTGAACCTAGACGCCATGAGTCTTTTCACTCTGTGTATGATCTGTGGGGCCTAGGGGGTCTACAGCCACCCACCCCTCTCAGCCACACCTTATGTGGGAAAACAATTCCATCAATCATATGTAGGTCAGACCAAGAGTTGATGAAGAAGTCACACAGTCTCCCACACCTCCATAGGTGGCTCATGGCCTATATCCCCCATGGCCAGTCCTTTTGTGGTCCCCATAACAATCAAGGTACAATATATTAACACAACCATATAACTGTAAATACCACTTCATCCGCGGTAAATGTCAAGAATTTAAAATCACGATGGAGAAAAAAATGTGCACCAATACCTAAGGTAACATCTAACGAATACAGTAATATAATCTTCCAAGTATATTATATATTTGATTTACTGGGTATATAATCCTATTCGCAATCCCTTAATAGCAATTTTTTTTTTTTTACATCAAAACACGTTAGAGACACTTACAGTATGTGTCAAAGGCTGTGAAGATGTGTCTTACTTCATTCCGATACCGTTGAGCTTCCTTCTTTTTCCTGACAATATTTAAAAACCCCTCGAGTAATATACCTGAAAGTTGGGGAAAGAACAATTTGTCAAAGGTTACTGTCTTTCTCTTTAAGAAAAAATTAAACAGAAATGAACAGTAATAAATATCACAAATAATCTAATTTTATCTTAATTGTGGTGAACAGTATTTACTCAAGATCTGTAAAGTTTCCTGAAGACCGAAAAAGGCATTTTGCTAAATGCTAACATTTAACAGACCCAACACTAGAAATCAATAGTGAAAATGCAAGACACTTTTAGGGTTCACTGAGCTTTTTCCAGGGGTAAAGAAATGGTGACCTTGAAAAAAGTGTAACACTCTTCCCTGCAACAGATCTAATAAGCAGGAAACTACTTATTAAACAAGGTCTCATAATTTTTCTTTCCTTATGCTTCTTTTCTTTGATCCCTTTTTTCCTAGCCAGATGTCACTATGGCAGGTTTTTTTCCAACTGGGAGATCGGGTCAGAGAAGTAGTTTCTTAAAAGTCAACACCAATTGCACACCACAGATAAAGGTGGAGAGAATATTACATAAACAATAGAGCTGGCACCATCCCCAGCCCTGGATACACCCCACAACGTGTGGAGCAGCCTCAGGCTCAGCTTCCTGCGACTCTCATAATAAAAGAGCCCAGCATGATAAAATGAGATTGGATACTGTGCTTACAATGTCTATTAAAATGAATTCTAATGTGATCTTTGTAGTAGGTTTAAAGAGCGAAGCCAAGAATTTAAACATTTTAGTGAACTGAGCTCTACATATATAAAAAGAGCGGTTCATTTTTATAACTCAAAATTTCCATAAAATAACATTATCACTCTGTTTTAAAAATAGCCTCTAATCATACAATAACCACATGCACATTTTTTTCTTTTAGTGAGGTAATACTAAGCTGTATACCTTTTGTAAAATAGTTCCAATCATTTAAAAAAAATGTAGAAATGATTTTCTTAATTTCCTACATCTTTATTTATATTTAAAGATTTAAAACGGAAAAAAAAATGTCTTTCTGTTCTTCAATGATTCCTTTATAACATTTTAGGACCTACTGTGGGCCAGGCACTGTATTAAGCTTTGGAAATAGAGGGAAAAAGAGAATATATGTGATTCTAGTCCCAAGGGAGCTACTGATCTGGTGGGGAAGGCAGTCAATTTTTCAAACACACACCTCAATGCAAACTGTGGCATGGGCAATGAGGGGAAAGACAGGAGGTTGTGAAAAAGATTCACAGGAATCCTCATGTAGAGTAGACTCTGGTGAAGGAGAGATCCCTTCAGGGAGGAGATATTTAAGCCAAGACCTAAACCATGAGACAATACCAACGACCTAGTATTGGGAGGAAGAGCATTGCTGGCAGTAGCAACAGCCTGTGCCGAGGCCGTCAGGTGGCAAGGTGGGAAAATGAAAACAGGCTGCTGTGGTTAGAACAAAGTGAGCCAGAGAGAAGTGATACAAGACGAGGTTGGGAAGAGCAGCAGGGGCCAGAACTCACAGACTCTTGTGGACCACAGTAAATGATTTGGGTTTTATTTCAGCTGCAATAGGAAGTCAACAGAAGGTTTGAATTGGGAAGTTATACGATGTGAGTTTTGAAATATCTTTCTGGCCATTATCTTGATAAAGGGACTGAGGTGGGAGAGCAAAAACGTAGAAAGAGAGACCAGTTAGGAGCCTACTGGCAAGAGATGTGGTTGCCAGGGTTGCTGGCAGTGGGGATGAGAGGAGTGGAAGGTATCCAGATATATTTTAGAATCTAAATAACATAGCTTGATGAAGAACTAGATGTGGTGGGTGAGAAAGAAGGAGATGTCAAGAATATCCCATAGATTCTGGCTTGAAGAGCTACTTAAAGAGAGGAGAAAGTCTGGGAGAAGAGCAAAATTGGGGCGAGATGAGGAGTTGCCATTCAGCTGTGTGAAGTGTTTAGTTCTCTGGAGACAACCAAGAGGAGAAGTTCAGGAGGTGGCCGGCTGTCTTCTAGGCAACAGGGCATATCTCCCTCACATACCAGAGTGCCTGGCAGGTGCTCAATCGTATGTACTATAGCAAATTAGCATATGTAGCATTTTTTTCTGTAGTTGTAGGGATACATATTGATGCAGCTCCATTCTTATCTAATCACCCCTGTGACAGAGACCATATGCCAAATTGCTAGCTGAGGTTAAAATTGAAGTCTAGCCATGCCATGTGCCCATCAGGTCATATTCATAACTTTAGCTTCAAAAACACCAAAATCTAGTCAATTAAGTAGCATCTAGAGTAGCTGAAATTCTTGAATAATGTATTTACTGATAATGGCATGTCCTTGGAGACCCTTCAGAAACGTACCCCAGTCTACCTCTCAAGACTTCCTAGTCAACTTCCTGGTGCTTCCCCAAGCCAAGAGGCCCTTTCACACTCCACACCTTTGCATGTATAAAACACACTGCCTGGAATAATGCACTTTCTCCTTGTTTCTCCTAGGGAATGTTTACATCTCCTTCCAGATGCAACCCAGGCCTCATCTCCTATTTGAATGTGTCTCTGATTTCTCTCAGCTGAGTCCTCTTTCTGTGACCCGACAGCGCTCTGTTCATCATGCAATCATAGAAGTGATTAGGATCTATGGTAATTATTTGGCCACATGTCTAACTGAGACCTGCTGAGGGAAAGCAGTGTATAGTGTTCAAAATTTTATCCCACGTTTAACATAATGCCTAGCAGACAGTAGGCATTCATTACATGTTTGCTGAGTAAGTAACATTCAATGAATAATAAACAAGAAGATGTTGTTTAGAGTTTTAGCAAAAAGCATTAAAATGTGTGTGGGTTTTTTTTCCCCCCTAGAGACATGGTCTCGCTCCGTTGCCCAGGCTGGAGTGCACAGGCTAGTCACAGGCATGGCCACAGCGCACTGCAGCCTGAAAATCCTAGCCTCAAGTTATCCTCCACTTCAGTCTCCCCAGTAGCTGGAACTAAAGGCATATGCCACCATGCCAGGCTTAAAATGTGTGTTTTAGACCAGGTGTGGTGGCTCACGCCTATAATCCCAACACTTTGGGAGGCAAAGGTGGGCAGAGAGGTTGAGGTCAGGAGTTCCAGACCAGCATGGCCAACATGGCAAATCTGTCTCTACTAAAAATACAAAAATTAGCCAGGTGCGGTGGCTCACACCTGTAATCCCAGTAATTTGGGAGGCTGAGGCAGGCAAATCACCTGAGGTCAGGAGTTTGAGACCAGCCTGGCCAACATGGCAAAACCTGCCTCTACTAAAAATACAAAAATTAGCTAGGTGTGGCGGCATGCACCTGTAATCCCAGCTACTCAGAGGGGGGCTGAGGCATAAGAAGAGCCTGAACCCAGGAGTTGGTGGTTGCGGCGAGCCGCAATCGTGCCACTGCACTCCAGCCTGGATGACAGAGCAAGACTCTCAAAACAGGAAAAAAAACAAAAAACAAAAAGACCCATGTTTTAAATGATCTTATAACTCTGTAAATGAATGCCAAAAAGTAGGTCTCTTTCTATTCACATAGCCAGCAAAATAAACTGTCACTTCGGAAACTCCCATTTCTTAAAACATATGATATAGTAAAAACCAAACAAAATCCAGAGACAACTACATTCATAATATTTGCTCTTATCATTGCATTTGACTTAGAGAAGTGATAAAGGGAAAAAAGCACAATTCCATAGTTCACTGTGTAATTCATAAGGAAAAAAAAGGACCTGAGTGGTGATATCTTTTATATTACTTATTCAGATAACTCACGAGTATTTGGAGCTATGAAGTATTCAGGTCTTTATTTCACAATTTTGTAGGATAAAAACAAATGTTCTTTAGCTTTTACTAGGAGAAAATGTATGTGGATTTAAACTGTATGCCTATTACCACTTAAAAGGAAAAGCCACCCAATAACACCAATTACTCCATATGTGTAATCAATTTCTTTCACACTATTTTCCCACAAAATCATATGCTTTATTTCTTAAAGTCCATATTCTAGGGGTTAAACTCATCAAGTATATATCGTGTGAACATTTCCCCTCCCTTCTATGCCCTTAATTGTCTTAGTCTTCCAAGGCAACATTTATCCAAATACAAGCCCCTTTTCTAAAAACGAGAGGAATTTTTTTGTTCAGCTCGGCTCTCATGTTGTAGTAATATGATCACTTTCCAAAGCCAATACATAATAACATGCTATTCCTGAAGCTCCACAATGAAAACACACTAATGTAAGCTGTATACACCTAGCTCTCTAAATAGCCTAGAAATAGAGTTCCTACTACTAGCTCCACCTGCTGTCACAACATTCACACCTAAAATTACCACTTCACAAAGCCTTTCAGTAATTCTACTGACATCAGATTTCATACCCAATAAGAAATGTATTACCTGTGTCCCCTCCCACCCCACCTCCAGAGGAAGAATATGTTCAGAAAATTCTAATTTCATATACAATGTTAAGTCTTTTGTATACACCATTTCACTACTAACAGTTACTTAAACATACTTTACTGTGGTTACAAATTAGCATCACAACGTTAGGAACCACACAGGTCTCTGTGTTTATCTATGTTTATTGTTAATATGTCTGCAGAAGGTATTCAGAAATTGCCTGGGTCATTGGACTCTATCAATAGTTGGCAAACTTTTTTTTTTTTAAGCTGTAGGAAAGGTTTTTCTTTATATGAAAATGGAAAGCCTCATCTGTAGAGGAGATGAAGGCAGAACTACTTGGTTTGAAGTGGGTGGCCTTCCCATTCTTCCCTATCCAGCAGTGTCTTTTGAATGTGTCCCCAAAGAATCTAGGATTGAGGATCATGGTTTAAAGACCACTGGACCAATGATTTTTTTTTTTTTTTTTAAAACGGAGTTTCCCTCTGTCACCCAGGCTGGAGTGCAGTGGCCCAATCTCAGCTCACTGCAAGCTCTGCCTCCCAGGTTCACGCCATTCTCCTGCCTCAGCCTCCTGAGTAGCTGGGACTACAGGCACCTGCCACCAAGCCCAGTTAATTTTTTGTATTTTTAGTAGAGATG